TATGGAGGTTCCTCAAAAAGTTGAAAATAGAGCTACCATATGATCCAGCAATTGCACTACTGGGTATTTACCCCAAAGATACAAAAGTAGGGATCCGAAGGGCTACGTGCACCCCGATGTTTATAGCAGCAATGTCCACAATAGCCAAACTGTGGAAAGAGCCAAGATGTCCATCGACAGATGAATGGATAAAGAAGAGGTGGTATATATATACAATGGAATATTATGCAGCCATCAAAAGGAATGAGATCTTGCCATTTGCAACGACGTGGATGGAACTGGAGGGTATTATGTTGAGTGAAATAAGTCAAACAGAGAAAGACATGTATCATATGATCTCACTGATATGAGGAATTCTTAATCGCAGGAAACAAACTGAGGGTTGCTGGAGTGGGGGGTGGGGTGGGAGGGATGGGGTGACTGGGTGATAGACACTGGGGAGGGTATGTGCTCTGGTAAGCACTGTGAATTGTGCAAGACTGTTGACTCTCAGATCTGTACCTCTGAAACAAATAATGCAATATATGTTAAGAAAAAAAAAAGAAGAAGAAGAAGAAGAAGGTAGCGGGAGGGGAAGAATGAAGCGGGGGAAATCGGAGGGGTAGATGAACCATGAAAGACGATGGACTCTGAAAAACAAACTGAGGGTTCTAGAGGGGAGGGGGGTGGGAGGATGGGTTAGCCTGGTGGTGGGTATTGAGGAGGGCACATTCTGCATGGAGCACTGGGTGTTATGCACAAACAATGAATCATGGGACACTTCATCTAAAACTAATGATGTAATGTATGGGGATTAACATAAGAATAAAAAAAAAAATAAATGTCTCCAAGGCCACCGAGCTAGTAAGTGGTAGGGCTCGGATTTAAACCCAGACATAGAGTCCACATTCTCCAGGTCTCTCCTTTCCGTCTACTGAGTATGAATGTCCGCAACCGCTCACTGACCTGCAACCCTTGATTCCGTAATGGACACGCTCATTTTGCACGGTGACCACCCTTGGGTCCCAGAAAGCATGGTTAACAGCCCCTCAGTGTGTGGGTTCGCGGAGCCAAGTGTTGCTTAGGCCTTTTGAAAGAGCTGTCCTCGGAGAGCAGATGGATGCCCAAGCTAATCAAAGATTTTTCTATTTTGCTTTCATCTGCAATCCCAGCACTTTCCGGGTTGTTTGCTTATTTCTACCCCATGACGGTGAAACAGTGAAGTCAACAGAATATTCTGCCTTTTGAATCGTGGAAAAACAGTAACACACAGCCTGTGGAAGGAAGAATCCCTCTTGCTAGCCTGCCTGTCACTGTTCGTGACCATTTATAGGAACTGCTGAGTCTTTCCTTTTTTTCAGAAAGTGTCCACCCCCCCCGCTCCCCCGCCTTTTTGTTTTTTTGTTTTGTTTTGTTTTGTTTTTTTTGGATCTGTATTAGGGCAAACATTTAAAATGGGAGAATGCACACAGTACAGCCAAAGGTGTTCTTGGTATATGCCAAATGCTACGATGGAGGTTGTTTCTGTAGCAGGATCTCCTTACTCAGAGTCACAGGGAAGATTCGGGAGCAAAATGATCAGCAGGTTTGATGCTGAAAGTAACACAGAGCCCACTGAACTGATGTCCAGCGTGGAACAGGCCGAAGTCCCCCTGAGCAGCTGAGGCCAACAGCTTTGCTGGGAGCAGGGACGAGACCGTCAGAACCCTCGTGTTGAAAGACAACAGCCCGGGTCCCACCGCTGGTGGCTCTGACTGCAGACAAGTCTGTCTCCATTGTTGGGCCAGCAACATCTCTTTCATGGGCCAGCAAAGAGGGCCGACTGGAGGACATCCCTGCTTTATGCCTGAGTCCCCCCATGGCTCTCGCCTTGGCGCTCCCTGCAGTGAGCTCTGCTCGGGACACTCAGGCCATGAAGTAATTGCACCCTCTGAGACTTCACGTGTCACGATGAGGAAAATCAATTCCTATCACCCGAAGAGGTATCACTCCAGGAGACCACTAAAAACTGCGGGCTGCCCTGCGGTACCGGAGTCTTTAAGGTAATTTTTACAAGGAAAGGGACACAAATTGGGAGTCAAAGAAAGCACGTTCTTTAAGAATCTATATAGGGGCAGAGGGCAATGAAAATAAACCGAAAGAGGACTTTTGCTCGGCACTATCCTTTCCAGAGGTATTTACTCAAGGAACAAAACCAGAGCACACTCGAGTGCCTGCCTGATGGAGGAAAAACTTGCATGTGCTGAATCCATTAGAAAACTGTTCAGTAACAGTCTTCCTTGTGAAAATATTAGCCTTGTCCCGGTTCCAAGTTCAGCATCGCCACAGGTTATCTGTTACGTAAGTGCCTGCAGCCGATGCAGGATGGCTGGACAGAAGAGAATTCACAGTTCGGAAGGGCTTCTACGCTTTCCACTTGGGTAGGAATGCTCTCCTACGGGCGCCGCTGGGCTGGCCCTGCTCACAGCTGGCCTCGAGGTCATTAACAATGCTTGTCAGCTTGAAATAACAACCTGGAGACTGATAACTGGCATGAGGCAAATGCCTGACATGGCTCTTCGACTAGGTCACCCGTTTCAGGGTTTTCCTCGAGTCCTGTCAAGCAAGCCACGCCATCACCCAACCAGTTCCAGAAAGGGCACTTTGCTCTGGTTCTGTCCCAATGCTTCACAATTATGAGAAACCCACTGTGAGAGCTGAACAGAGAAACTGGCAGGCTTTAAGCAGCATTTCCCGAGACAAAGAAGGCCCGGGGGCCCAACTGTTTCCTTAGAGGCTCAGAAGGGCAACGCAATCCTCTCCTCCTTTTCTTCGGCAAGCTCTATCAAAAGTACAGTTAGCCTTTCCATTGGTATCGAAAATTCCTCGTGAGGAATAAGGATAAGCAAAATGAAGCCAGGGACATGAGACAATTATTCAGACAGTTCGGGAATAAATAACATTCTGTTTTAGACTGCAAGTGATTTATGAAGATTATCAGTGATGACATTCTTCTGGTCATTCAAAAATTCTATTCTCCCCTTTGCCAGTGTAAGCAAAAAAAGGGCATCCTTTGCAAATGCTTATTAACTATTATGGTTGTTGGTAGGAAACCATGGCTGGGGCTCTCAAGGACAGTACACAGAGAAAACGGAGTGATTATTTCAAAGACAGTGGCTTTGACAAATTTTAAATGTTCTTCCTGCTCCTTTCTTCATCTAATAAATTTAGTACCAGATACTCCCTTCTTCAATGAGCTGTGTATCACAGTGTGTTGTTAGCTAAAATTGTAAAAAAAAAAAAAAAGCCTTCCTCGGCTAGATCAATGCTGCTATAAACACGCCATACAATTATCTACACACACAGGCGGACACAAGACAGGATCTGATCCTGAAGTCACAGGGTCTGAGCTGAGACACAATCGTTCCTTACTAGGCACTGGAACATGTGTAAGTCACTTAAATTTCTTTCTTCACTCTCATCTACAGAATGGGTAATAGGATCCAACAGGGTTGTTCTAAGGAATAAGTCAATAGGATCCAACAGGGTTGTTCTAAGGAATAAGGAATGTATGTAAAATCCAATGGCCTGGTGCCTGGCACATAAAGGAAATATTACATATTAATATGACTATAATTATTAATATAATAACATGGTAACTATAATTAATATGTAATTATATTATATATTAATATCACATATTAATGTAACATATTACATATTATACATATATTACACATGAATATAATATTAATACATATTACATATTAGTATATATATAAACCGAAGTTACCATGGCACAAAATAAGCTATCACCTAACATGGACTCCCACTAAAGAAAGACTGTAGTAATACTCTCCACGGGTATTTTTTGAACTTGAGATTGTCATGCTCGAAAAAGCATAATCTCTTGTTGACAATACCACGATTTACTGCCACTGGGAAAGTTTATGAAGCCAAAGGGGATATGGTTATATGCATGAGAAGCAATTTTCTTTGCCACAAACAAATATGATTAAATCTATTTTAATACAGTGCTGACTTTATTTATTTATTTTTAAGACTGAGATTGGCATTTTGTGGTTCCAACTTAAAAAAAATATGTAATTTATACTTATCCTTCTCAAAGGGAGTTACTGAGGATTTTTTCTACTCCATACCCTGGACTGTGATCTTTGTACATCAATTACTCACACAGGGATTTCCTAATGTAGGAACTGGTTGTAACTGAGACTCATCCAGTTAGTGTGTCTGCTCATCTTTAATAGAGAGAGACTTCCTTAATTAATCTTACTGAAGATTTTACTGAATTAATTCTAGTTTAATTTAATTAACTTAATTAATTAAATAAGATTTTACTTAATCTTACTGAAGAAAATCTTACTGAAGATTTTCCTTTTAATGCTGGGTACAAGAAAGTTTATCACTTTCCCTTTTGACAAAAGTTAAATGCATTTATTGTAGAAAATTTGGAAAATACTGAAAAATATAAGGAAGATAAAAGCGACTTCTAATTCCACCCTGAGTGATAACTCCTATGAACATGTTGTGACACAGTTTTTTTTTTTTTCCCGAGTCTTATGACCTACTTCTTTTCTTCTCTCTCCAGAATTCAAAGTTGGTACCAAATTAATATGAATGGTTTTGTATCATACATTTTAATATTATATAATGACCATGTTTTCCCATAAAATTCCATTATAGGTATATAGTTTCGTTATTTAGCCAATATCTTATTAGGGAATATTTAGGTTGGTTTTTTTTAAAGATTTTTTAAATTTATTTATTTGAGAGAGAGAGAATGAGAGACAGAGAGCACGAGAGGGAAGAGGGTCAGAGGGAGAAGCAGACCCCCCGCTGAGCAGGGAGCCCGATGTGGGACTCGATCCTGGGACTCCAGGATCATGACCTGAGCCGAAGCAGTCGCTCAACCAACTGAGCCACCCAGGCGCCCTATTTAGGTTGTTTAAACATGTTTTTCATTAAAAATTACTACAAGGAAATGATGGCTTATAAACCTGATCATTAAAAATTCTTCCTACCTGGCCAAAGCAACCTGCATAATGAATAAGGCTTGGGAAATCCTTAGAACAACTCAGCTCTGCGATGGCTTCGGTTTCACTCACCATCCAACGGACACACTCCAACTGACCATTCTAGATTGGAAAAAAGAAGAAAGAAAGAAATTCAAGGTCACTCAAGTTTGAAAAATACCTCATAGATGGTAATTTTGCCAAGGGAAGAAATCACGTGAATTTTGGTTCTTGTTATTTGGCTTCATTTATTTGCAGTCTATCACCTTTTTTGTCTCTGGTCTGTGCTTTTGGCTCAAAATCAGATGGGGAATTTTTACTGAAATGCATTTTCATAATTGTAATCAGTTAGTTTAAAATGACTTTATTGAGGTATAATTTGCATACTATAAAATATACTCTACCCTTTTTAAGCATATAGTTTGATGAATTTTGACAAATATATACTCTCTTGTAACTACTGCTCCCATCAAGATAGAGAACATTTCCATTCCCCCCTTTCCCCAAAATCTTTACAATTCCTCTGGTCTCCAGAGGTCTTCACCTTTGCCCCAGGCAACCACTGATAGGATTTCTATCACAACAGGATAGAGTACGGAGTCTTTTGGGTCTCACCTTTGTCCCTCGGCATTCATGCCTCTGAGATTCATCCAAGCTTCTGCTTGTATGAAAGGTTTGTTCTTTTTTACTGATGACAAGTATTCCATTGTATGAATATACCAACATTTATTTATTCATTAGCTCTTAGAATAGGCTTTTACCCTTGAGAATTTGAAATGGTAGGATTCCAAAATAAAGAGAGAGAAAATAACCTCATTATTCTATTGGTTCAAATGCTATGTTCCCTGAAGCCTTTGGTGACTCCATCTCTACACTGGCTTTTTCCTCCTGTGCTGAGATCCCACACTGTACAAACCAGGAAGGCAGCTGTGAAACATATAACCTAGTCATTAGGACCCAGACTTTGGAACGGATTTAAATCTTCAATCCACTACTTAGTTACAAGACCTTGAACAAGTTGCTTCCCTCTCTGATACTCAGTTTTCTCATCTGTGAAATAGCAGGGATAGCACTAACTGCCTCATGAGCAGCAGATGAGACAAAGCATCTGAGCTTACTCAGCACCCAACACTTGTTACCTTTTACTAGTAGTGCACTCTCCCAGCTCCTCTTTAACACAAATGAGACATTCAGCTGCCTTCCTGGTTTGCCCAGTGTGGGGCCTTAGCCCAAGAGAAAAGAGCTACCATGCCATGGAGTCCAGGAAGCTTATTCTAGACACAAGATAGAAGGGGGGTAGTCTACTCCTTTTCCATCTACACCTATTTGGATAGTGGAATTTCAAGTAGTCAACTCTCAACTGCTCACAGGCAGAGACTATCTTTCCACTGGGGGAATCTAGCCAGATCAGGTGGGTGGTGAATAGCTTCCAGGTGCCACTTCAGATCTGTCTCCTCCTTCCTCTGCAGTCATTGCTGCCAGGGGAGGTAGGTCTGTATGGGCTGGCTCCCTTGCCCCCTGGGTTTGGCTGATGGAGAGCGTTGGCAGGACACCAGGAAAGGAGAATGAGTTTGAGGTCCCCTCTTTTCCTGGCTTTCCCAATTCCCATGGGGTTGCCGTTGGCTGCTGTGTCCCTCCACCAGTCAAAGGTCAAAAATCAGCCAGTTCTTCCATTTGGCCATCTCTAGCTTGTGCCTCTCCCCAACCCCTTCAGGCTCTCAGGTGGTAACAGTGCTCTGCTCTTACCCCAGGATACTGTACTTTTCTTCTTGGGCTCCCTACACCCCACCCATCACCCTTTTGTACATGAATCCTTCATTATAGACGTTCTTCAAATTGCATAATTTGAGCATGCCAACTGTTTTCTACCAAGATTAAAATAAAACCACTGATACTATGTGCTTTATTCCCTCTGAATAAAAAAAGGAATAGGAACCATAGTGAGCACCTACTAGGGAAGATAGTTCATATCAACTGGCATTTACACAGAACACAGAGAAGAGGCAACATTTCTGATTTTAATGATTTGAGTCTTGTCTCTTTTTTTCTTGGTCTAACTAAAAGTTTACTAATTTCTTTAATCTTTTCATACAACCAGATTTGGTTTTGTTGACTTTATTTCTTTTTTCTGTTCTCTATTGCATTTATTTCTGCTTGAATTTTTAAATTTCTTCTCTTCTGCTTGCTTTGAACGTAGTGTGCTATTCTTTTTCAAGTTTATTAAGGTAGAAGATTAAGCTATTAATTTTAGATCTTTCTTTTTCCCTTTTTTTTTAAAAAAAGATTTTATCTATTTATTTGAGAGAGAGAGCACACAAGCATGGGGAAGGGGTAGTGGGAGAGAGGAAAGCAGACTCCTTGCTGAGCAGGGAGCCCAACGTGGGGCTCTATCCCAGGATCCTGGGATCATGACCTGAGCCAAAGGCAGATGCTTAACTGACATGAGCCACCCAGGTGCCTCTCCTTTTCTTTTTTTTTTTTTAATACTGGCATTTATGGCTATAAATTTCCCTCTCTGCATTGCTTTAGCTGCATCCTTAAATGATAATAGAATGCATTTTATTTTCCAGTTTCCCTTGTAATTTCTTCTTTGATAAATGATTATTTTGGCGTGTGTTAATTCCAGATACTTGTGAGTATCCCTAATTTCCTTCTGTTTTGATTCCTAATTGCATTTCCTTATGGTTAAAGGACATACTTTGTATGATTTCATTCCTTTCATATTTATTGAGACCTGTTCTGTGGCCCAACATATGGTCTATTCTGGAGAATGTTCCATCTGTATTTGGGGAGAACATGTATTCTGCTTTTGTTGGGTAGAATGTTCTGTTAGATATCTGTTAGGTCTAGTTATTCAAGACGGTAACGTTTGAATAAATGTATTAAATAATAAAATGCTGCTATAAAGGCGGAAGGAAATATATTGCTACTATGATCTTGAACACAACATTGCTTGCCATAAATAGAAATACCAAGAAAGCAAAAAAATGTTATTACATTTCAGCAGGAGATTTTTGCCTGCTGGAGTCTCTGAAACTGGGATCACTCATACTGGATGTTAAAAAGGAACGTCAGTAGGTTAGGTCTTTGAAGTCATTTTCTCATCAGACAAATGTGCTATCTTTGAGCTTAATCAGAAGGACTGCGTGAGAAATAAAAAAGAAATTAAGGTTATTTCTCTCCAAGTCTGCTTAACTCCTAAAACAATGTATTGTGTTGGCCCCCTTTTAGAAACACACTGCTCTCACCGTATAGAAATCTTTCTTTTCAGTTATTTTGCTTAACTGTTCCCAAAGGGCACTCAGTAATGTCCTGAACTGCCACAGTATCTAGTGTTGGGTTGCCCAGAAAACTCTCAATAAATTCTGCATGTAACTGGTAAGAATTTATTATGTTCCATTTAAGGAGTTTAAGGGTAGGGAAGAGGTGTTCTTAAGCCTTCAAAGCCCCTTTTCTCAGGTTATCTTTTTATTTGATACCATATCTCTGACTCTGCTTCCTGTCAGCCGAGTCACATTCTCTCAGCGACTTCTGCTCGTTTGAACCAAGTTTGTTGTCTTTAATGACAGCAGGGCTCTCAGAACTATGCTTAATGAGGTGAGACACTATCAGTTGGTCGCTGGTGTTCAAAACAAGGTCCTAAAACAGAAGAATGATGACTTAGTAGAACTCCCTCAACTTCACCAATGTCTATCAAATGACACTGAATGGACTGAGGCCAGATTCCCAAAGGGGGTGGCACTTACTATAAAATATTTGTTTTGACTTCTTTTGTAAATTCTAGATTAAATGAAGAAATAGAAGAAGAGTTCCATTTCTCATATCATTGTCCAGAAGTAAAAATATGAAAGGTCTGAGACCCCCAAATCCATAAGAGCTTTTGAGTCTAGTGGGTTTGATATGCGTTCTTCATTAAAACAAAGAAACAAAAACCACTGCAGTTCAAGGTTACATGCTGATTATATGATAGCAGTACATTGACTGGAGGAGTTTAAGAATGAATTACCAATATGGATACCATAGAAGGAATTTATAGCCAGGGTTGGTCTAATGACCACCAAGTTTCTTATGTACTGTCCTACTCTGAACATTCTTAATCCATGAAAACAAGCACTAAGGTATATAAATGAAGAAAAAGCTTTCTCATCCAACTATGTGGCTATGATATACTCCATAATTTAACATCAGTTAGGAAAGCTAATGAGCACTGTATTTTATAAACACTAAAAGAACAAGGCTAATGTCAACATTTATTGGCATTGCAAGAATATTTTATTCATCACTGACCCACACCCATTGATGACCAGATCTGACCCCTGTCTTCCCACAGGACTCTGATATAGGACTAGATCCTGAATTTGCCATCCTGCACTTGAGTTACTGGTAACTTACCTGCCCTATCTACCTGGCTATCAGCTTCTGAGGAAAAGCGACTAGGTCTCATTCAAATTTGTATTGTCATCACCCAACACAGTACCTGGTGGACTTGGTACACATTGTTGAACTCAACTATACTGCACCTTGACTTCCCATCTAATTTCTCTTCATGATGGATGTTTGCAGTTCAGTGCCTAATGTGACATAGCAACATTCACTAAAGGAAAGCAATATCTATCAGGGTCCTGGATCTCTTATTTTCTAAAAAAAAAATCATTTTCTATACTACCTTAGAAATAATACACTATCATTGAATAAAATTAAATAAAACAAAAAACAACTTTTAATACATAAAACTTCACTAAATGGTAGGGCACCTAGGTGGCTCAGTTGGTTAAGTGTCTGCCTTCACCTCAGGTCATGATCTCAGGGTCCCGGAATCGAGCTCTCCTTTGGGTTCCCTGCTCATCGGGGAATTTGCTTCTCCCTCTTCCCTGCCCCTCCCCCACTCATGCTCTGTCTCTCTCTCTCTCTCAAATAAGTAAATAAAATCTTTAAAAAAAGGTTCACTGAATGGTAAATAAATTAAAGATGCAAAAATTCAGATTTGCATAAAAGATACATTAAGGTAGGCCAGCAATCACTCGTTTTTCAAATGTAACATGTTCTTCAGTGAATACACAAGTGGATCTCTTTAACTAGCAAGTTCCCCTAGTAAATTTCAAAAATAATTCCATTTCTAAAAATGATTATTCAGCTTTTAGAAGACATAACTATTATGTAAAGCAGAGCACATATGCAGAAGCACAAGATGTATTATATTTCCCTGAACTTCGCTTCTGGCCTCTTCATAAATATGACTGAATTCTACACTTATTTGCCAAAGATCTTAAAAGTAATTGTAGTTTAATGGCTAACCTTCTAGCGATGTGTTATGTTTTACAGAGGCACTCACTGCAGTGAGCTATAAAAGACCATGTTTCCTTGACTCACAATTTCTAAGTTTTAACTCCATCCCAGTTGACACTACACACAAAACTAGGCCCTGACATTCGAAACAACTCTTGGTACTGAAGACATTTACACTTCAGATGTGATCTGTTAGAAGCCCGCTTTATTATCTGAAATACTCCTGAGAGCTATCTTTCCTTAAAATACACCTTTTCCTCATTTGTCTCGCTCATTATACTCACATTAGGAAAACATGAAACAGTCGCAGATAAATCCAGGTGTGGTTAAAATCTAAATTGCAGTCACCATGAATAACGAAAGTTCTGAGAACCACAATAGATCATTTTCCTTCCTCTTTATTAGCTGACTTGAAGTTTACCCTCGTTGCACAATAAATTGGAATGTAGTCGCCAAAGCTCAAAGCAGTTAGTACCTGAAATGATTACTCTCTTAAATGTAGTAGGCTCATTTGCCATTTGCTTGATGTATCACGCTACTCTCTTCCTGTACTCATCTCTCCAACTTAGCTCAATAGGAATCTTCAAAAACAGAAACTTTTAGCGGTGGCGGGTCCAGCCCCCAACCCATCATCACCTTGATGGCCAGGCCCGCTGGAGTCAACTTCTCTATGTTTCGCTCACTGAGGCAATCTTCTCCCATCAAAGAGGTGAGGTGCTGCAGACATTCGGCGTGTCCCTGCGATGCGGCCACATGTAAGAGATTGTTGCCATTTTCGTCGTGAATTTTGTCTAGGTTGTCGGCAGCGAGGTGTGGCTGTATAGACGGTAAGATTAGAACACTTAAGTCAAGAATCAGAATGAGATGCTATGGGGGTTTCGCTGTGGGCCCTGGGAAGAGGAGATGAGTTTCCAGGAGCTCTGGTGGCCATCCTGGGGATCTAATAAGTCAGAAATTCCCTACTATTAATGCTAATGACTTTCCATTACAGTTTTTGCTATCCTATCCTTTAGAACCTGAGTCCTCAAGGGACTTATCTTCATGGGAGACATGGTGACCGGGCTCGGTCAGTGAGTTTGCGGAGGCGCCAAGATGGTTTTCTAAACAACTGCAATGACATTTATGGTAATTGGCAGGTTCCCTCTCTGTCTCCTCCATTCAACTGCTAAGTGCTGACAGCCAGACTGTGTTTTATCCTCTGTTGTAGGTTTGTTGAATGAAAGAACTACTTCTCTCCACCATCTGGTTTGCCTTGAACGACAGAGAACTGGCTTTGATTGCAAGCTATCTGATGGCTGCCACATCTAGAGCTACCACAGGATTTTTCCAGACACTTGCACCCCAAACAGAGTCCTGGGGCACCTGGAGGCTATACCTGGCCTTTAGTGTTCTCACCTCTAGTGAAGCTTAGTTCCCTGCATATGACATGGTTGATAGAGACTGTTGGGTGAGTCAAGAGGTGTTACCATCTGGGAAACATGAAAACATGGGATGGACAGAAGAAAAGAATAAACCAGAGAGAAAAAGAGAGGAAGAGCCAGGAGAAATAGAAAAGCTATTTTCAGGAGAAAAAAAAAATATTACTTTTTTAGTAAAAGTGTTCAATCCTATCATCCTATGACAACAGTCAGACAACAATAGACCAGGCACACTGTACTTATCTCTGCATGGCTTTACCCTAAGTGGAATCACACTGCCAAGCTGTGATGCTTTCTCAAGTGAGACTTTAATTAACATCATAGTACCAGCCCAGGCTTGCTACTGTTTGATCCAAGTCTGCAAGCCAGAAAAGAACAATGCAGGCAGATGGAGTGTGATTTCAGTTGAGCTCTCTCTGAGCCTAAGCAGAACAGACTTTTCTTACATCATGTTAACTCTGTGACTCAAATCTTTGGAAAGCTTCTTCATGTTCCCTAGACACGAAGCGCTGGAACTCGGTAAAAACTCCATGGAGGTCAGAGGGCAACCAAGCTCTAGGGTAAGCTTCTATCTGCAAATGTTTTCCAACTTCCTGGTCCAAGTCTTCTGAATAATGATCAGGACAAAACAGAAGACCCTCTGTTCATGTATCTGGCAGGCCCACCACCAAGGGACCAACATCCCCACAAGTAACCAAGTGAGAGCACTGGGATCCATTTGAACAGGGAAAAGAAAGACATTCAGATTCACATTAAAGCAAGGGCTGGACTTTGTTTTGTTTTTGTTCTAGATTATGGTCAGATTCGTGCACAGATTCGTGCACAGTTCAAGTGGAATAACACTCCCTCTGTAGCCGTTTGTTTTCTCCCTGTACTGACCTCCTAATTTTGTATTTTAAAATTCAAGAGGCACATCATCTAACTCAGGCTATGAGTAAAGATGAAGCAAGAATGGGAAGAAACGCTCATCATTCTGTTACTCCTAATGGAGCTGACAGAACTGAAGTCTCTAGATGATGGAACGAGATCATACTTACCAGGAGAGATATCTGTCCTTCCTTAACGATGTTCAAGATGCTTTTCACTTTTTTCAGGTACTCACTCCTTTCTTCTGGGCCTTGGGTGCTGGTCCAGTTCACGCCCCCGATCGGTTCTTCTAGTTTGGGTTCTGCGGCTGCAGGCTGAGGATGGAAGGCCCTGAGCTGGCCGTCTGGCGTTGCCTTCTCGCGTTTTCGACTCGGAGGATCATTAAAGGTCTTGATGAGGAAGTCCTTAGTCTGGGTCTCGGGCTCATATGCAGAGCCACACTTCACCAGAGGCGGTGAGCTCTCAGACTCTTCCCCGGAGAGCTTTTGCTGCTCGCGAACGGCCGAGGACGCTTTTCTCAAGTGAGGGCTTTTCACGGGCGAAAGAACACAGAACGGTGTCAGGTTGGCTGGTGAGCTCTCAGCGCTTCCGGGGGAGCAGGCTTTGCCAGAAAGGCCATTGATGGTGGTGCACAAACCCAAAATTCTCTTCTCTGGAGTCACCTTGGTGAAAGAGGCAAGCTGTTGACTGGATTTAATGTAAGGCACATCCAGAATCTCATCCATGTCAAGGTCATAATGCTCCAGCTCCCCCAGCAAGGTGCTGGGCTCGGTGCTCTTACTCTGCGGACCACTGTCTCCATCTCCAGGGCTGAGCTCCTCGGGTTGGGGGCCTGGGTCGGGATCACCCCCTTTCTGGTACTCCACCTTCTGGTTCTTCTGGTCATCGCTTTCATTGTTCTCCAGAGTCTCCGGCTGATGTTTCAGCGGGGAAACTCGCTTCACAGGACGGAACTTACTGTACACATCTGCGATTCCTGTGGGCTTTTGCGTGTTTGTCATGAGAGCCGACACGTTGCAATTCCAGCTCGAGCTAGAAACTGTTTAGAAATAAATACAAGAGGAGAGTATTACACTGAAACGCCGAAGGTATCTTGGCCACGCAGGCAGGTGTAGTCCACTTACGTTATGCTCAAAGAAAGCTCCTGTCTGAGGGATGACTTAGAGAGACGTGTATCATACCAAACAGTTCATACTTACCACTGGAAAACTGAGGGATAAAAGTTATGGCCTATTGGCTCAAAATTAATTAAAATAGTATTCATGGAAAAGCAGACAGCTAAAACAAACAGATCCAGACAGATTTTTAGGTTCATTCCCTGGATGGCTATACCTCTTTGGAAGGATTAGGATACTTGTCACCACCTTGAAAAACAGAAATGGGAGGTCAGATCCTCTGGGTTAAATGAACTTCCAAAGTAGTTTGGGGAGAGAAGGGATGGACACACACACGCGCATGAGCACATGCATACATACATATATGTATACCCCTAAAGCTTAAGAAGTCCCACATAAAAAAATGGGTAAATTATTTAATATTGGGCAAACTGAAACTGTGACCCATTGGGTGACTGTCCACCACAGATGGGTATCCCAGGGAAGCATCACTCAGGGGCATTTCCCAGTGCTCTCTGGCGTATGACACAGCAACATCATGTATTAACACTTCACAACGGAACATGTTGTAAGAGTCAAGGAGGCCCTCCAATGTTGGCAAAGCTGGGAGCAGCCAGGAGGAGAAGGAGTTGCAAAGGGAGAGCGAGATGCACAGGTTGATGCATCTTCTTCTTCTTCTCCTTTCTCTGCAAAGCTTAGATAAAGATTGTCTGGTTTACCTTTGAGTGAGCGTCTGGTAGAGACCAAGTGCACAGTGAAACAGCAATGCATCTGGAGGTTAAAGATAAGAACACCATCTCTCCCCGTTAGCCTCATGGAAGGCAACCCTGTGCCTTCTCCTGGTGTAGGATGACGGACCACAGTCTCCTCCCTCATGATGACCCTGCTTCCTCTCTGGGATACTCCCCTGACTAGACAGATGACCCGGCACCTTTGGAAACTTGTAGGCCACTGGTGTATGGACTCTTCCCTTTCCAATTACATTTATACCATCCCCCTTCAAAGGGGGAAGGTTTCAGGACATGCCCTCCATCTAGGGGCCTCCCATCCCACTCTCCTCTTCTGGAACAACAACAGTTAGGAAGAATTTAATCTAAAAGCATGTGCTTGTGTCCATTCTTTGCTACTGGACACGACCAAAGAATAAAAGAGATGGGGTATATTCAGGTCTGTAACTTCTAGGACAGTCCCTGGCTACCACTACTTTTAGGGGTGAAAGTTATTAAAAGTTCCCCAAATTTAGATCACTGGTCAATCTTGTTCCTATTGCAATGTGTTCTAAAAAGATTCAGAGGAGTTCTGGAAGCGAGCTAAGGAGGTGAGAGTAACTATTCTGAGACTGAATGCTATGTAACTGCTGGTGGGTGGGGTCTTTCCCCTCAAAGAGACCACAGTTTGCTATGGGCTTTTTCAGACGGTCTGCACTAAGTGGTCTAGTTCCAAGACCTTTAAAATCTATGAAGAGAATACTATGAGCTGTGAAGGGAGGCCTGGATTCCACCCAGTAAGGAACAGGTATTAACAAGAATGTTCCAGAAGGGAAGGAAGGTATCTAGATGCTGTTAAGCTGCTGCCTCTCTTCCCTTTCGTTGGCTCTGGTTCTAAACTGTACACAGTACTTGGCACAGAGCAGACAATTAACAAATGCTAGTATTTGAATTTGAATCTCACTTTGTGCAATGCATTAAATCTCCTTGTAAATGCCCAAAGCGCATCCTTCTGAGGGATTTACAGCTTGATATCACAGGGGACAAAAGTCCTGTTAATAAACTCAGAGGAGTGATAATCACCAATGAGAGCTGGATTTTCTAAAGTTATTTATGAAATGTAAATATGCAAAGGCAAAGACTAATTCCAGTTGGTCCATTATAAATTTAAAAGATTTCCTATCCTTTATAGGTCTATTTTTCCTCTAAAAATGTGAAGCTATGAAAAATTGTCTGCCAGAAATTTCTGCCAAGCTTTCCTCTCTTCCTTTCAAGAACACATGGTTACTTATTTAAAACAGCAGAGAGATAGCGGATGTAAAGTTTATAATGTGTAAATATGCCTTTAATTTTATCCATCAATTTTTCTGAAAAGCTTAAAATACAGTGGCCAACGTGTGTGTGTGTGTGTGTGTGTGTGTATACTCCATGACATTTCAGAGATACATATTTATTATTAGGGATGGTATTTGCTAATATTTTGCCAATTACCTTGATTCCTTTGGAACTTCTTGAAAATGTGCATCTCAGGATGTAATAAAAAAATTTTAAAGTCACATAACTTAGTGGACCAATACAACGAGTGCATTGTACCTATATATTTATGTATTGTATAAGGTCGCGGGTTCAAAGGGTTACTCTTTTATGTTGGCTTTATTTACATGTGAAATTTTTTCCAAGTGATACAGGGAAATGGATACCATATGTTTCCCAGCTGTTTTTACTGACAAGAGCCATTAAGAATGCTCTATGGAAATGAATTCTGTCTGAGTCTTATGAAAACACTTCTTTCCACAGAAGGGTCTAGAAACTAAAGAAGGGGCATCAACATTAGTCTTGTTGTCCTTCCTCTTCTTCAAACCTCACTCTTTTTTTAGGCTCAGAGTGAAATCTATGCTTTCTAGTCTGTGTCTTGTTGACCAGGAAAAAAAAAAAATCCCAGTTATGTGAAATTGATTATTCAAGAGAGTCTCATGAGAATGCTCCAATTTATTACTACATATACTCATCTGAGGGGGAAGGGCAATTTTATGCTACACATAAGACAAAACTTTAGATTATTTCTCCTAAGCTGGGAAAATGAACATTTTAAGCACAACATAAGAAAAAGGGCTACACTGACAAGGTTTTAACTTCCAATTCTATAAGTCTACCCCAAATTTCATTTATATTGTTGTTCTACCCCAACACCATCATCAATTTCTAATAACACAAGAAAACAAAGTTCAGACTATGGTTAATAGAGAGATTTTGAGGCTAAATTTGTTTTCTGGAAATCATGAATAAAGGCCTCATACATTAAGCTTTAAATCCCTGAAAATCTTATCTATTATCTTATTAGATCTTTACAAGCTCTATGAGAACAGGGTCTGTGTCTAATTTATCTCTCCATCCCTCACAGCACTTAGCAAATTGCTTTATATAAATAGGTCCTTAATGATTTTTTTGTTGAATGGATTCATTTTTAACAGCTTACGAAAGTAAAACATGTCTAGTATACCTTAAAACTGTCTACCTGATTATGTCACAAATTTTCTGAAATGGTCATGAAGTAAATGCAAGTGTTTTTGAGGCCGACTTATAGGCCACGGTGATCTCTTCCAATCTAACTGTCATTGGAAATGTCTCTGAACTCCAGCAAGGTGGTTTCCAGTGGCCCGCTGACCATCCACACTTAGCCCATATCTTCAACAAACATTTAATGTGAGCCTAGAATGGGTGCATATTTGTCACAGGCAGCATGTTCCAAAGCAGGGGTCTTACCCCTCCCTTCCCTTACTTGCTCCCTCCCTTTCTCCTACTCATCAAGCACACATGCTCTACTATCTCTTCTTTGTAATCTTGGCCTGGGTCAGATGACCACTCATGCAGTTTCCCAAGCAATCTCCCTGCGGAGCATTGCTGGCCCTTCTCTTTCCTTGACCTGCATCTCTCATCCCTCCGGGCACCAACTCCTGCTGTGGCCTGATCGAAAATTTTTCTCAAATCTGGTCCCTCTTTTCCAGCCTTATTATACTAACTGGACCACATGGGAACCCTTGCATATCCTCTACAAAGTTCTAGCTACTTCTCTGGTCTTCTTTTCTAGTCCTGAGTTATCCCTCTTCACATAGGTCTGATTTTGTCACTTCTTAGCTCAGAATCCTCAGGTGGCCCTGTATGGCCTATGACATTTCCCCCTATGTAGCATGCATATCCCTGCAGTATCGAAGATGGCACACAGGAACCATACTGAATACTCCTGACTTAGAGAATAAGGGAGCCATATGCCGTTCAACTCTCTTTCTCCCACCTAACTCATTCAAGGAATCTCAGTTTGGTGCTACAGTGAATTTAACTCCTCTCCCAAACTTACCATCTCCCTTTAAAATAATGAGACTGCAGGCCTCAGGCTGGGAGACTTTCAGGAGCAAAGAGTTAACAGGAATGTTTTATTTTCATCACATTCATTTTAATGATGACCTTGAATTGACTGCAAGTGACATTGTTTTTTTTTTTTAAGATTTTATTTATTTATTTAAGAGAGCGAGCGAGCGAGAGCACAAGCAGGCTGAGGGGCAGAAGAAGAAGCAGACTCCTCACTGAGCAGGGAGCCCGATGCAGGGCTTGATCCTGGGACTCTAGGATCATGACCTGAGCCGAAGGCAGACACTTAACTGAATGACCCACCCAGGCACCCCTGACGTTGGTTTTATATTTACAATACTGATGTGAAGTTTCTTTTGAAAATAGGTATGTTTTAAAGTAAGACATTTGAGGAAAATGTTAAACAAATAATAGCACGAGTAGTTTACAGGGAGAGCAAAAATAATATAAGGTGGCTTTGGATTTAACACATATTGTGGAAATAATATTTAAATTACTAAGGTTTGGGAAACTGGCTTTCAGGATAGTAACTAAATTCCTTAGCATAGATGTAGCAGGTTTTTTTTTTTTTACACAGGCATACCTCAGAGATCTTGCAGATTTAATTCCAGATCGTTACGACAAAGGGAATATCGCAATAAAGTCAAATTAATTTTCTGGGTCCCCAGTGTGTATAAAAGTTATGTCCTCGTTATTAAGTATGTAATTGCATTAGGTCCAAAAAGCAACGTACATACCTTAACCAAAAATACTTTATTGCTGAAAAATGCTAACCATCATCTGACCTTTCAGCGAGTCATCATCTTTTGGCTAATGGAGGGTCTTGCCTTGATGTAGATGGCTGATGACCC